ATAATTACGAATTAATTGATTTGTTGCTCTAGTTTCATTAGTATATGCTCCCACAAGGCTAACACTAGTACTATGATCATATATTGTAGTTTTTGCAAGAATATAAATTTTAGTTTTTTTAAGTGAATTGATGTGAGCAATAATTTTCGGTGGTATGTTAACAATACGACACCAAAATCTAGATACGAGACGACAATTATTTATTAAAGCTGGAACAGGCAAAAATGAAAATATATGTAATAATAATTCTGGTGTCGTTAGAACTTCTTTTACTTCTGGTGATGAGAAAACTCGTTGGATTGTTGTTGAAGTAATTTCATCTAGTGAGGATGGGATAGAAATAATTGATGCTGGTGAGGATGTTATTGAAATTGGAGAATTCATATTATTATCATTTTTGTTACGATCATTGATCTTATTATTATCTTCGCTGTTATTAGCATTAGCGTTATTAGCATTGTCCTTATTATTGTCGTTTTTGACATCCTCGTCATTACTGTTGATTTTATTATTTTCGTTATTATTGTTAATATCTTTAGTAATAATAATATTATTCTCATTATTATTATTGATGTTGGAGTTATCAATATCATCGTTATTATCTTTATTAATGTTATCAACTTTGTCATTATTAATGATATTGTCGATAATATTTTCATTGTTATTGCTGTTATCTTTGATATTCCTGCTATCTTTAATATTATCTTTATCTTCTTTAATATTTTCAGTATCGTCTTTAATAATATTACTGTCGTCGATATTACAATTTATTAATTGATTAATCATTTTTTAGAATTCTTTGATTTTTTCGTGTTTAAAAAAAAGCAAAACCTTTATTATGATCCCTGTAAAATCTGTTACACGTATTAGTATCAGGGCTGGAAATAGGGTCTGAAAAAAAAACGGAAATTTCTCTTGATATTGATGTAATATTAATATTGTTAATATTAAATTCTTTTTATCTGTTATTATTAGTTTTTATTTTAATTTTTGATATATATATATATATTATAGTGCAAAAATCAAGGCATGAGGATGATTCTATTAAATAAATCATCAATAAAGCTAAGTATAAAAGATCTTTATAACATTCTTTGCATATTTATC